TAATATTGCTAATTTTTAAATAAAAATCATTGTTAAGTATATTTTTAAAAATGCAATGCATCACTAGATTGAATTCATATAATTCATATCAAATACAAATCAAGTTAGCTATTATAAAAAATTTTAATTAAAAGACCAAATTACAAACTCTTTGGACCATAGAACAAGTACTATTTAAAGGACAACTAATCAATATATGACATCAAGAAAGATGAAGTGTATAAAAAAACTTGACCAAAATTTTAAACATGATCTTATAAGTATGATGTTCAAAACAACGATATTTCCAATAAGTAAAAATTACAAATACATTCTTAAATTTTGAAGCAAACACATATGTTCAGATATGATATATCATGTATGATAGATAAATTGAAAGTAATTAAAAAAATAGTGACCTTACTTAGAGACTTGGCAATGATCTAAAGACCAATGTCAAACACAACAAGGACATAATTTACAGCAATGTATTTGCTCCATGTGTTGTAAACGTTATGAGAGTAAAATTTATTCTTCAACTCAAATTATAAGATGACCTCAATTATGGATTTCTTGTAATTGATGGTATAAAGTGAGATAAGCAAATAAAAAGAATAAAAAAAATAAAAATCACAAAAAAAGTGAAAAGAATATATTCAAGCAATTACAGACTCTAAAACTTAGTTATAATATGTTTATTGGATTTTTATTGAATAAATAAAATCTAAAAAAAATAAATTTAATATAATAAATTTATTATATTTCTAATGACATAAAAAAAATATAAATTTAATTTATTTTTAATAAGTTAGGAAGATTTAAAATATCAAATAAATAATTAAAAAATTAAGTGAAATAATTTTTATCTCAAGGATAACTTGTTTATAGATTAAGAATTTAAGCCTCATCAAGCCTCATTTGTAGTATATATTATTATCCCAGAGTGGCTCTAAAGCCTTAGTTTTATCCTCCTATCTACATCTATGATGCTACAATTTATATGATATTTGTGCACCTTCTTTTATACAAGAATTATACTAGCTACTGGTTTTCTGAGCAAAACAACTTTTATTGTATTTTTGACTTCACCACGATGTTAAAAAACATCTAATTAGCTCAAAATCTTTTACAATCTTTAAATCTTGCTTCATTTCTTCATAATAGCTCCCAAAGTAGTAAAATTCAATTTTATCAAAGTCTTAAAAAAAATTCAAAAAATTCCTAAATAATTCTAAATAAATAAATTCTAAATTCTAAAAAAAATCGTAATATTTTTATAGTAATATCAATTTAAAGCTAAATTTTTTACCTTAGAATTTTTTATAAAAATAAAATCAATTTTAGCCAACTAAATTTATTATTTTTTATATAAATAACCAAAAAGATATGAAATTCTTTTTCATAACCTTCTAACTACTAACTTATATTTATAGGTTATTTTTTATTAGTAACATATTTAGATAAAAGATAAATTTAGATATTAATCATAGTAATTAAATAATTATATTTAATAATAATAAATTATTAAATCAATTAAGATAATTGCCTTCAAGACTTACTTAGACTCTATTCTTATAACTTTCTTTTAGTAAGACTTTTGTAACTTACAAATACTTCTAAATTCTAATGAATATTTAAATAATAAAAACTACTATTTAATATTAAAATTTCTATAATTAAATAATTTAAAATTATATTTTTTAATTAATCCACTAATAAAAATTTATTAGAGAGACTCAAAAAAGTTAAAGATACTTTAATTACAAATTAGCTAAACTATTTAAGATGCCATATAAATTCATGCTTCAAAAGAAATATAATTAGTAAGAAGAAAAAATCTTTTGGAAGTATTGATATTAATAATATACTAATTTCAAAATATGAGATTAGATTTGTTGGCAAAAGCTTTGAGCTCAAACTTATTTTTCTTAAATAGACTCAATGCCTAAGACATCATAATATCTTCAAAAAAGTTCAAGTTGAAATAACAATCTCTCAATAATGTTGCCAATAATTAACTTATTGAAATTAAACCTCAAAGCTCTACTAGTACTCTTTAAATCACTATAAATAGAATTAATAAGCGGCACATTGGTCTTATTAAAGATTTTTTCTTTCTTTAGTTGCTTTTTGCTTATGATATTTTTTCTACTTCACAAGATATTGCTATATAAGGTATTGATGCACAAAGTATTGCAAATAGTGATATGTTTAAGATTAAATATAATACTTGCAATACTTGGTTAATTTTTGTTTTATACCAATGTTCTCTTTTTAACTAAAAACCATGTAAAATTAATAATTATACAATGCCACTTTACTACTATTTGTATCTTGTGCTATTAGAATCATGCCAAATTTAACTTCATATTATTTCCAAAACTTTAGTATTGTCTTTGATTTCTTTAGTGGCATGATGTAAGATGAACACTGCTCAATTAATGTAGAAATGACCATAATATTACTCCAACATGGCTTCTTTTAAAAAAAAAAGATGCATAGGGGCCCAAAAAAAAAAAAAAAAAAAAAAAAAAAAAATCCTAAATAACATCAAAATTACTAGAACACCAAATTCCATATAAAGTTCAAATTGTATTTTTCTTTTGTCTGTTTTGTCCTCAAAAACCCTTGTAGGGATAATACTTCCTTAACCTTCTCTTCTAATTCGCAAGCAAGGTCATCATAAGAAGGAGTTGTCATCCATTTTAACTCCAATCCTCTGCAATCATCATAAGTATCAATTAGGCTCCACACAATAATAATCTTATTTAGGAAGTGTAGCCAACTTTTATTTAAGAAAATTAGAAAATTTTCTTATAAAAATCTCTTATTAAAATTGGCTTATTTTTTATCCATTAATTTATAAAAAATAAAAAAATAAATGATATATCTATATATATATATATATATATATATACATGTTATTACATTAATATATAAAAATATATTTATAGTTAATACATAAAAAAATATATTTATAGTTAATACCTAAAAAAATATAATAATTAATATGTAAAATATAATTAAAATATATTCTTATATATATTAATATCAAAAAATAAACTATAAATTGATATATATATATATATATATATATATATATAGATATATATTAAAAATATTATATATTTATATATTTATTTATTTCTTTTATGACACAATATTTTTTAAATAAAAAATATCATATCTCACCATTATAATTTATATGTAAAAATTTAAATTTTATAAAAAATACGATTAATTATAATTTTAGAAATATAAAATTATATACAATTTATCTACTTATATTTTTATTATTTAATATATCATATATAATTTTATGCTCTCTAATTTTAATCTTGGGATAATAAATCCTTGATATTATTTTTTTAAAACGAATAAAATTTTAAAATACATGCATTGTAAAATACAAATTTTTATATATTATATAAAACTTCAAATAAATCAGTGTCAATAAGAATTCAAATTTTTAAAAATAAGTATACGTTAAAATTAAAAATTCAAGAAGAGAAATTAAATAAATTCATGATTTTTTACTTAAAATTTTAAATTACATTTTATTAGTTTAAAAACAAATCATGTATTAAATTTTTTTCTCATGTAGAAAAATAAATAAATAAAAATGGACCTACTCAAATCTTAAATTGGTCCACTTACATTGTTCCATGAACATATTTTTTTATCTCTTACGTTAAGAAATTCTTTGAAGATGATTACAAGTTGTGAAGTATATCTCAATTGCAAAATCAATAAAGGAATCCAATCCACAATTGGTTTACACTTCAAATAAATCCAATTGATTGATTGATTGATATTAGTATAGATCTATCAATGGGTGTTAGTAAAGATCTATAAATTTGTGTTGGTATTAATCTATGAATTGGTATTGGTGTTAACCTATAAATTGGTGTTGGTGTTAATCTATCAATTGGTGTTGGTATAGTTCCATTGATGGGTGTTGGTGTCAATCTATCAATTGGTGTTTTTGTTGATACTTCAATTAGTATTGGCATTGGTGTAGATCCATTGTTTTTCACAAGTGAATTGTATACAAAATAAGATCAAATTAAGATTATTCTCTATGTGCAATAAAGTAACAAACTTTTGAATTTCATATGTTTGAATCTTCAAAAGTTTGTAGTAACATTGTCATACATCATTTTAAGATTTAGGTGAGTTGATTTATTATTATTAAAAGATAAAGATTATAATTATTTAAAAGGTATTTTTATTAAAATTTTATAATACAAAATATCTTGGAGTTGTTTAAAAAAAACAACACCAAAATATAGCTTTCATTTTCAACAAGTTGGATTGTCATTTTTGCATTAACATAGCTGAGCAAGTTAATACAAACGACAAAAGACCTCTTAGTATTCATCGTCCAACCAATGGACAGCATACCATCAACTTTACGAAGGGCTTGATCAGGAGCTGGGGCACTGAGAATAACACATTTTGTGGGCAAATCAACAAAAAAAAAAACGGGAGGTTCGACGCACTGTTGCGCTAGGGCGGCCGTGTTGCCAAGGTCGTGAACCAGATCGAATCCGACACTCTCGTGCTCTTTGACCTGTAGCGAGTCAACGTGGACCATACTTCTCCCCTCGACGCTTTTTTTGTTTATTAAAATAATTGCGAGGACTGGTTTACAACCACTAAACGACTTGATACATGACATATTCCATCAGTTGCTCCCAAATTATTTTCTAGTGTGGGTCACACTCAGTACTCTGCCGCAGTCGGTATTTCCGTGCAACTGAGCGCGTGCTGTCCGACCAAGACCTTGGTGACAAGCGGCACCGCTTTATCGACAGAGGTGGTGGGGTTTGCAGATCCTTGGAGCTTATCCAATCAACAAGCTTTTGAAGTGTGAACATCTCACTGTACCACAACCTTTTGAAGTGTGAACATCGTTGGTCGAGGGTTTGGAGGTTGTAGACCATAGCTTATAGCTTTCTCGTTGCGCGTGACGGCTGTCGGGGCCAATCCGAGAAAATTCTGGCGCTTAGTGCAGACTCGCAGCGTGGGCTTCGGTGAATGTGGGGGCAGGGGTGGTTTCGACGTTGCTGGCGCAGATAGTTAATGGACTGGGAAGTTGCAGCTTCACGAGAATCGACCGTGTGTTCGGGCGTCAAACGGAGCTCACTGTGCATTTAATGCACATTGCCTTCAAAAGCATGCATTTCGTGTGTTTCAGGGAGGGTAGAGGGTTTCGAGATGGAATAGGAGATGTGAAGGAGCGAAGTCCCCACTTTCGATATGACATTAAGGTGTTGTGCGGAACACAGTATGCTGAGACACATCACTTCTGTTCACTCATAGTTGTTTCCGACACTTTCCTTTCCAACATGAGCGATTGTATCAAAGGATTAGTGTACACTGTGGGTCGCAAATCAGTTCCATTCGAGGCAAATTTAGTCACTCCCATTGTTTAACGGTCGGAAACTCCAAGGTTTGGTAAATATGCGTAGAAGACGAACACTGCAGAGATGGGTTGTCGCGGCTCTCACTCTCTTGACCTTGGTCGCTTGTTTGTCGGACGCCTTGACGCCAGACGGCTTAGCATTGCTAGAATTCAAGAACAACTTAATTGCATCGTCCGTTGAGTCTCTTGCTAATTGGAACGAGTCGGATGCATCCCCGTGTACCTGGAACGGCATCAACTGCACGTCAACTGGTTACGTGCAGAACATCAGCTTGACGAAATTTGGACTTGAGGGCTCAATTTCGCCGAGTTTGGGGAAGCTGAAATTCATGGAAAAGCTGGACCTCTCCGGAAATTTATTGTTTGGCAGTATTCCTACAGAGCTTGGTAATTGCAGTGCGCTCATCACTCTTCATCTCTATAATAACAAGAACCTTTCCGGACCGATTCCATCCGAATTAGGCAATCTTCAGGCCTTGACCGAGGTATTACTAACAAACAACAAACTCAATGGAACCATACCCCGAGCCTTTGCAGCACTCCCGAAGTTGGAAACATTCGACGTCGGCGAGAATCGTCTCACCGGTGAGGTACCTATCGAAATTTACGAGAATGAAAACCTAGCAATGTTCTACGTCAATGACAACCTCCTCCACGGGAATATTACCGCAGGTATGGCCAATACTCTTTTGGCATTTATGGCACTCAAGCCAATTTTAAGGTTTGGAACAATTTGCTACGCCCGAGACAACCGACAACTCATGAATCATCTTGTCTTCGTGTACAGGTTTGGAAGCGCTGTCCAAGTTGCCCAATATAGGAGATATATGGATGCACAATAACAATTTTAGCGGCTCCCTGCCGGCGTCATTGGGTAATGCTACCACTATCACATCCCTCCTCGTCCACAACCAGAGCGGTAAGGCATTCGGAGGTACGATTCCTCCCGAGATTGGTAAGCTGAAAAACCTCAACACTCTGGATCTCCGGAACAGCAATTTCACAGGCATCATTCCCCCCCAGCTCGGCAACTTGACTTCATTACAGAAGATGTACCTGCACACAAACTACCTCACTGGCGGTATCCCTCGAGAATTTGGTCGGCTTCAAAACATGCATGATCTGCAGTTGTACGACAACCAGCTAGAAGGGCCACTCCCGGCGGAGCTCGGAGATTGCTCTATGCTCCAGAATGTTTATTTGTTTCTGAATCGTCTGAACGGTTCTATCCCTTCGTCAGTAGGTAAACTGGCTCGACTTAAAATATTTGATGTTCACAACAACACCCTGTCTGGGCCTCTCCCGGTGGATTTGTTTGACTGCACATCACTAACGAATCTTTCTTTACAATACAACATGTTCTCCGGCAATATTCCGCCCGAGATAGGGATGTTGAAGAATTTGAGTTCGCTACGGCTGAATTCCAACAACTTCTCGGGCGATCTTCCGGAGGAAATTGTGAATCTGACGAAATTGGAGGAGCTTGCGCTCTGCGTGAATCGTCTTACGGGACGTATTCCGGACGGGATCTCCAACATTACAACCCTACAACATATATACCTGTATGACAATTTCATGTCGGGGCCACTTCCTCCTGACCTCGGACTGTACAACTTGATAACGCTCGACATTCGCAACAACTCGTTCACCGGGCCGTTGCCCGAGGGACTGTGCCGTGCGGGAAATTTGTCCTTCGTGGATGTACACCTGAACAAGTTTGAAGGCCCCATTCCGAAATCCCTCTCCACCTGCCAATCCCTAGTTCGGTTCCGCGCTTCGGATAACCGGTTCACGGGAATTCCTGATGGGTTCGGAATGAACTCGAAATTGTCCTACTTATCCCTTTCGAGAAACCGCCTCGTAGGTCCACTACCGAAGAACCTTGGATCCAATAGCAGCCTCATCAACTTAGAACTTAGTGACAATGCCCTAACGGGAGATCTGGGTTCGTCTTTGGCATTCTCCGAGCTATCGCAGCTTCAACTCCTAGACTTGTCAAGGAACAATTTCAGGGGTGAGATACCAGCGACAGTGGCAAGCTGCATTAAGCTCTTCCATTTGGACTTGAGCTTCAATTCTCTTAGTGGAGTTCTCCCTGTTGCACTTGCAAAAGTAAAAACAGTTAAGAACTTATTTCTCCAGGGCAACAATTTCACAGGGATTGCCGAACCAGACATATACGGCTTCAGCAGCTTACAGAGGCTCAACCTTGCGCAGAATCCTTGGAACGGGCCGATTCCACTAGAATTGGGTGCCATTTCGGAGCTCAGGGGATTGAACTTGAGCTACGGCGGGTTCTCAGGATCCATCCCCTCAGACCTCGGTAGGCTAAGCCAGCTTGAGAGTCTCGATCTGTCACATAACGACCTCACGGGGGAAGTGCCGAACGTGCTTGGAAAGATCGCTTCCCTCTCTCACGTGAACATCTCATACAACCGCCTCACAGGCCCATTGCCGTCTGCTTGGAGAAACCTCTTAGGTCAAGACCCTGGAGCATTTGCAGGCAACCCAGGGCTGTGTCTCAACTCCACTGCCAACAATCTATGCGTGAACACAACCCCCACAAGCACAGGAAAAAAGATACATACAGGGGAAATTGTGGCCATAGCTTTCGGCGTTGCCGTGGCATTGGTCCTGGTTGTAATGTTCTTGTGGTGGTGGTGGTGGTGGCGGCCTGCTAGAAAATCCATGGAACCATTGGAGCGCGACATCGACATCATTAGCTTTCCAGGGTTCGTAATCACATTCGAAGAGATTATGGCAGCAACAGCAGACCTAAGTGATAGTTGCGTAATTGGAAGAGGCGGCCATGGAGTCGTTTACAAAGCGAGGTTGGCGTCAGGTACGTCCATCGTGGTGAAGAAGATCGACTCTCTAGATAAATCTGGTATTGTTGGTAAGAGTTTCTCGAGAGAAATAGAGACGGTCGGAAACGCGAAGCATCGAAACCTCGTAAAGTTGCTCGGCTTCTGCAGATGGAAAGAGGCAGGGCTGCTCCTATATGATTATGTTGGTAATGGGGACCTCCACGCAGCGTTGTATAACAAGGAGTTAGGGATAACCTTGCCCTGGAAAGCAAGGCTTCGGATTGCAGAGGGGGTAGCAAACGGATTGGCGTATCTTCACCACGACTACAACCCCGCGATAGTGCATCGAGACATAAAGGCCAGCAACGTGCTCCTCGACGATGATTTAGAACCTCATATCTCGGATTTTGGCATCGCAAAGGTGCTGGACATGCAGCCAAAGAGCGATGGCGCGACCTCGACATTACATGTCACGGGAACATATGGTTACATCGCTCCAGAGGCAGGGTATGGGGCAAAGCCGACAACGAAGTTGGATGTATACTCCTACGGTGTGCTATTGCTTGAGCTCTTGACGAGTAAGCAAGCAGTGGATCCAACTTTCGGTGAAGACCTGCACATTACGAGATGGGTGAGATTGCAGATGCTGCAAAATGAAGAAAGGGTGGCAGAATCTGTACTAGACTCATGGCTTCTCAGTACATCAAGCATGACAGAAAGAACACATATGCTCCACGGACTAAGGCTTGCTTTGCTTTGCACCATGGACAACCCATCTGAACGTCCTACAATGGCAGATGTGGTCGGAATTTTACGTAGACTACCTAGAGCAACAGAGGAAGTGTGAGAGTATCGGTTATCCCTTTAGGAATATTTCGCATTAAACTACGCGAAATTCCCTGTGTCTCCCAGTTCCAAACTCTAATACTTACAATCCCCAATTTTTTTCCGATTTCAAATGTAATTGCAGTGATCAAGGAGCTGAGTAAACTTACGCTCTATACTCATCACCGTCAAAATTCGTACACGATGTGTACGTATAATGGTGCTTATTTTACATATTAACGCCAGTTCCCACCAGAGGACTGTCATGTATGTCACAAACAATAGCAAAAACTAAGAGATATACACCTCAAGCCTTGATAACATCATTTGTACACATGTACGGCATGTGGTATTGCACAAATCTCCAAATATACTTACATCAGAAATAATAAATATACATTTGATTGACCACACCAATTTCTTCCATCTCATTTTTCCTTTAATGATTTATTTTACAAATAATTCAATTTCTTTCAAAAAGTATTCCTTATACAATAATGAGTCATTGGTATATTATTCACAACATCACATTTGTCAATAATACTTTGTGCACCTCACATTATATATATTTTACTTTGTCACCTTGCAAAAACATCCATACTTCATATTCTACTCATTATTAAGGAATAAGTGAAATTCTTCAGAAATTTCTTAAAAGATGGCAAAATTTATAGACTTCTATGCCATTGAGCAATCTTGATTGTTCTACGTCTATTTTTGTAGGCATGGATATACAGACATTTCTTCTTCCATTAAAACTCGTAACAAATCATTGCCCTTGCTCATAATGCTACACACTCATGTACATCCCATAACAAAGTGATTACTTCTGCATTTCACCTCCACCCTCCCTTGCATCCACTCTATACATCTACACCATATACAATTTTTAAAATCACATACCCTTTCTTACACATAAACTTCTGTCCTAGCTTCCTGTATTGCATTCTCCCTTCATATATCAATAGCACAAAATAGGTTTGAAAGCCGTTATCCACAATCACACATCCACAACCATCAACACTACAACTCCTTCCACTTACATTCACTTACCTATAATCCAGCTCCACACCACTACCACTATCCATACAATGACAATCACAAGAACTATCATGCTAACACCTAGTATTTCATTCTTTGTCACCTCATAATGTCATAAGCCAGACAGACGCATCTCAATATGGATCATACAAAGGTACTGATCCCAGACTTGTATGTAAAGAAGCTTCCATTTCTAGCAGCCCCTCCTCATATTACAATATCGTGTATGGAACAATGTCAATATTCAAGGCAACATGGATGAGCCAGATCTCCTTTGGAAAAACCTCCACTCTATATCTTGTACTATTTTTCATATAAGAAAATCACCTATTAAAGTATCAATGAGTTCAAAACCTTTTATATCTACAACACTGATTGGAAGATCAATATATTTGCGATGGTGTTCTACCAAGGTTTAGTCAACTGAGTCTTCAAGTTTTCTAAAGGTCTTGTCCTTAGGTATACAATGATTTGGATTGCAAATCCTAAAAATGCCACTAGCGCCAAATAACCTACATAATTTCATACACTCCACTACATCAGTCTTTGTTTCTCTCTCTCTCTCTCTCTCTCTCTCTCTTTGATTTCCACCCTACAACTTGGACCCTCTATCAAAATTGTCTCATCTCTCTTTACATCTCTACCCTCACCATACTCTACTTCCACTATCGTTTTTGATTTCCTTCAACTTTAGCTCCTCTAGATTTGTGCCCTTTAAAAATTCTATAAGATGAAATATGTCCTAAGATACTCTCTCTTTCTAGGATCAAACTCTTTGTTCCTTTGCAATTCTACAAAATCAACTATAATAAATTCCATTGTCATGATTATCAATAGTGTATCTCATAATATTGAGTTGTCTAAATATATTACCTACCCTCTTAGAGTCACGGCCCACTTTTGTATTGATACCCAATTATCGTATCTAAGAGCCTTTGGAATCAATACTTCAGGTTATTTATAAAAATCTAAAACATTTCAATGTTTCCCTCTCCAATCCTATCTTATATGGCATTGACACTCAATCAAAAATAGAGGATAAATATTCTTGATGGTCATCTTATTGAGTCTTCAATAATTAATATATATCTACAATGATCCATCTTTTTTCTTTATAAATAAGATAAGAGCTCTTTCAAGGGATTTTGAATGGTTTATAAAATTCTTAATTAGGTTCTCTTCAATATACTCCTTGAGTTTAGCCAATATATTTTGTGATAAATTGTTAATTGGTCCAAATAGTAGTTGAGCTCCTTCTTAGAGATTAATTGAGCAATCATAGAGGTAATGTTCCAAAAAAGTATCCACATTTTTCTTTTCAAAGACATCTTGATAATTTATGATATTAGCTTAGAATGCCACTTGAAGTCTTTTTACTATTAGAAATAGGTGAGGCATAAATAATATAAGATGATTATTTTTTTGTAGCATGAAAGAAAGCTCTTGCACTTACAAATACAGGTTTGGTTGTACTAGACTTATAACTTTCTATTTAGTTAACAACACTCTTAGTTATACTCTCAAAAAAGTCAAAACTACAAGAAATCCAATCTATTCTAGGATTATATTTTTTTAGTCATAATAAACCTAAAATGACTAGATTAGAAAGAGATTTAATTATATGAAATATTATAAAGCTACTATGACTATTAGTTGTTACTTCTATAAGAAAGATTTCATGAGTAATTTTTATAGAAGACAAAAGACCACCATCTATAACTTTTATATGAAAAAATTTAATTTTCTTCACTAAAGATATGCTATGTTTTTTAACAAATTTTTTATCTAAGAAACAAGCCGAGGCTCTTGAATCTAGCAAGATAGAATTCATGAAGTTTAGGTCCTAAACTAACATCTATTATAAAACAAGGAGGAGATATTAAAAAAAGAATAAGACCTTCATTAGGTATTGTACAAGGTTCCATTTCTACAATTCTTAATGTATTTGGACAAACTTATTTTTTGACATACTACCTTTTGAAATAGCCATATTTCTCATTTTGTAGTTGTGTTGCTTCTTTCGACAATGTTGAGCACTGTGCTTAAGTTCTCCATAATATGAAGACAATCCTTCTTGATGATAACAAATCTTTTTTTGCTCAATAAGAATTTTGAAATGTATTGCATCAATTTATATATCTTCTACTTCCAAATATATGTATTGAAAAGATATTGATATTTCCATTGAATTTTAAAAATATTGAGGTTCAATTGTACGACTTTCAAATTGAAATTCAAAAAGTTGATTGTTACATTTCACATCAAAATCAATTATTTGATTCAATGTTTGAATATCAAATTGAGCATCAATTTCTTTACTTCAAATTATAATTTGTAGGAAAATTAGCTAATCAATGCAATATCATCTTACTTGATATTAGTTATAAAAATTTTAAATTATAAGATATATAATCTTACAGATTGATAACCTTATTACAAAATACAAATCTTCTTGGTTGCAATAAAAATTCCATCATATTTTTCATACATAGATCAAAACTCTGCCAAAAAGACCTCTAAGGTATCAAATATTAGATGTTGTCGTTTGAAAAAATAAAATAAAAACCATGATAATGTTGAAATTGAAAGTAATGTTCTAATAAACTTGACTTAAGATTCTTTAGTTGGATAGTATTGGAGGTTGAAGTTTGATCACTAATTGTACTTATTTGATGAATCTTTGAAACTTTGATCTTGTACCATCAAACTTTGTGGACAAGGCAATTCTTGATTCTCTAATACTAAAAAAATATTCTAATATAAGAAAAGTAGTATGATTTGGTACAAATATTGAAGCATCTCTAATCATCTTTATATCTTCAATTTCTATCAATTCTATTGCTTCTTGTGGTAGTATATTGAGTTCATGCATTGCAAGTATTAACTCCCTCAATTGCTCTCACATTTGTGCCATTGCTCTCTTCATTATAATAATCTCAGCCATGATAATACTAGAAAAAAGAAGATGTTTAATATCACTCAAGACAAATAGAAGAGAAGATTTGAAAAAAAAACAAAATACTAAGAATAATATCAATTTGAAGATGATAATCTATAATTTTTAATATGTTTATGTCTTATCAAAGAAAAGGAATAATCTACTCTTAATTAAAAAAGACAAATCTTTACTATTATAAGTGTATCCTTGTCAATCTATCAAGGACAAAAACTTGAAAAAAACAAAAAAATAAGTAAATTTTTTTTCAAAGAAAGATGACAAAATAGAAATAAAAAAGTATATATATTAAAAAGAAACTATAATAGCTATTACCAAAAGACAAGAAAACTAGAGATCCCTAAAATTTGACTAAAAGCAAGCAAAGAATTGAGAAGAGTGAAAAAGACTTCATTCTTGTTACTATATATTATCTAACTAAGAACTACGTGGCAACGTTCTATAGGACCTCCAATACATGTCCAATTTGCATGACATATGTTTTAGCTTGCAAGACAAGTTTCCTATTTGTACGCCACATGATTAGCTTGTGCCACAAGCTATCAATATGTAGTACATGTAGCTAACTGGTTGGCCAAATGTTCAATCTATCAATCACCTATAGTCATGTGTAAAGCTAAAACCCTATCAATATAGCTTGTAGGAAGCTTCTCTATAAGATATTATCAAATTAATTTACTTTTATTTACATCTATTTATTCATATTATCTAAGTAATTATGAGAATAAATATATATGTCTGTGACACAATTATTCATACATGCTAATATGTCTAATATCTTTGGTGGCTATTTTATTTCATTTCATAAGACATGTATTAGCCTTAAAATTCACTTCATAATCTTGATGTATCATTTTGCTAACAAAAAAAAAAAAAAATTGGCTAATCCTTCAATATGCAAGATGTCATGTACATACTTTGAATGTTGTTTGAAAACTAAAAAGAATTCTTATTATTTTCTTTGATGGCAAGTTTGGTATCCATGTCTAAATAGATTTTAGGGCCTTGTGGTAGATTTTTGTGACTTCAAAATTAACTTTGATTTCCTATCATGTGTTAAAAAGTACTAAAATTGATGTACCATTCTTTGTCACTTATAATAACAAATAATATAGCAATAAAAACAAACTCATTTTTCTTTAAATCTTTCATGTCTATTGTAATAGCCGGCTCTTTATAAAAAGTCTTCTTTTAACTTTTTTGACTTCTTATCTTTCTCTTTGGTCTAACATACTTTCTCATAGTAACCTTTCTTGCCACAATAGCTATATTTGGTATCATTTTTGTGATTATGTAAATACCTTGTATGAATATAAGTATGAAAAT